TACACACATGTACACATGTAAATATATGCATACATACAAATATACATATGCTCTCACACGCATCACACACACATACATCTTAAAAAAAAGTTGTCCAATGTACAATACATTTAAATAACATTTTCTGTACATATTCACATATGTACACAATCAAAGGAAGAATATGACTAAAATATACATAAATGATCGTGATAAATAAGCATGATGGGGAACAATGCAAATTTCAGTATCTTATAAACAGCATGTATTCTAACAGAATTCATACAAATTATAAAGCCCCAGTCTAAAGTATTATCAAGAATGAAACATAATGTACCAATATTTGATAACTAATGGGGAGTATTTTTTCAAAAATTCAAGGATTATCTCTTATAAGTAATACAAAATCAAATATAAACAACTTTCATATTTAACAGAATTTTTGTAATAATAATTTCTTCAGAAAATAATTGAAATTTGTAATTAAAAAATTAATCTCATACTCTCAGACTATGCAATAATGTCACGCAAATTATGGAAAAAAGTGTCAAAAGAAAAAGGCATTTTCAGCACAGTTAGATTTTTTTAAACACTAGAACTACCTAGCCCATCAAACTGATGAGTGTCATATATTTCCCTTTATAATTATTAATCTGCTAATATAACTGGAAAATTTTAACAACTTTTAATGAGAAAGGATGCTTATATTTCTTTGTTTCCTTTCAAATGTTGAAATTAAAAACTATTTGCCTTTTGTGTAACTAAACACACATAGACCCATCAAAATGAAAGACTCACTAAAATGAATTTTTATTTATCTTTAAACAGATTTATCATGAAAACTGCTTAGCTGGTTTGTTTCAAGTAAACGTTTTTGCCAGTAACAATATGTGCAGTATTATTGCTATTAAAAATTTACTGCTCCAAAGCAAGTATAAATACTTTTTCACCTAGTTGCAAAGAGATATATCATGCCCATCATCACCTTTTAATTAATTTGTTGTTAAACAACTTGTCAAACCTTATATAATCTAAGGTATGACTATAAACCACAAAAGTATCCGGAATGCCGCAAAAAGAATTGCGGCCAAGAAAACAATTTTAGTTAAAACTATATATGGAGACAAGAATTTTTCACTAAAACCAGCAAAACTGAAAGAACAATTAACTAAATAAGATCTTAACACAGCAGTTAAAGTAGATAATATTGGATAAACTACTAAAAAAAGGAAAACTGCCATAAAAATAACACGTTTGAATTTAACATAAATTTGTAAGGACTGACAAATTCAACAATCATTCGCCACAAAGGGCATCATCACATTATAATAAAATTAAATTCCGAATGGATATTGACCAGAAAAACGAAGTTTCTATAATATTTTGATTTAGTAGCATTCAGTGAATTAATATAGTGTTGTGTAAAGTTCAAATACAGTAAGTGAATTTAATTGCTAATACTAGAAGAACTTGCAAGCAAATAAATATTACAACAGAAGAAAAATATCTTCACAACAAGAATGTAACTCGGTAGAGTATATTTTAAGAATTCATCCTAATTCTAAAAAATATTCTATCAAACTGGATTGTGCAACAAAACAAAATCTACTTCTCTTGAAAGTAAGACGTATATTTGAGGTAAATACGCATCAAGAAGATCTATATGCAGAAAATATAGTCTGTAGACAGATTAACCCCTCCCCCCAAAAAAACTATTTCAGTTAAACATGTTTTCATGCATTTTCTAATTAAATACATATTTAATACATTAAATGCTATTTGTGTGTATAATTTTTACTTACGGAGACACCACATGACGTATATTTTTCAAATACACAATAAACATGCATGTAGCAGCAATACTGGTAGTTCTAGTGTTAAACAATTACAGTATGTCCACAAATTTCTTAAAAAAGTGGGGTTAATTTTAAAACTATCACTGTTACCAGTTGAAATTAATTGTACATCAAATGCTTCAAGAAAAATCAAGCATAAATAAATTAGTTTACACTAACAAAAACTTGAGATGCTAGCAGTTAATGCTGTTTCACATTACACAAAAAGGACAAACCATATTATCACCGAGTATTATTAACTATGTTTTCTTTTCAATGAAAGCATTCATCCTGAATCATTTAATTTAATAAGTTTAAATAGCAAACAACAGCTAGAATCTGAAAATGAAAACAGAATGGGTACAAGATACATGGGCATTTAAATCTGATTCTTATACATGTTAATAGGCTAACATTAAAACACTGGTTGAATCTTAAACATTAATTTGAAAATTTTTTTCCAGTTCATACATTGAGTAGGTGCATGAAATCCTGTTGTATCAAGGATACATAACAAGTTGTTATGTTAACCTGTTGCATACATAACAAGGATCATAAAAGTTATATATGCAAGTTTAAACAATTCTAGGAAAGAAAAATGCAAGCAACAAGATACAGTTGTTTAAACTTTCTTAATGGCATTGTGAGTTCACAGTTACAACTGTTAAATTACTTCATTGCTATCATAAATGAGGAGGGATGAAATCTGGCAAATTTTCTTGCTGCAGGTTCATTTCCTACAGCATATAACTGACTAAGCAGATATGTAGCTTTTAATGCGATAATAGGCAACACTTCAATTATTTGGTGTTTTATTATGACTGACTTTAAATTTTAGTCTGGGAGCCCTTAAGGAGCACGAGTTATCATGTTATTAAAATATCACAGTCCAGCAGCAGCGCTAAAGACCTAGTGCACTTCTCCTTTCAGCACTTTATGCTTAGTTCTATTATAGTTTCTAATGCTATTTTTATTATCTTTTCATTTATTAACAATTTGTATGTGATACAGTGAAATTCTGAATACATTTATTTAAAAAGTGAAAGGTTATTACAATACAACAAAAAATTTGAAATAAATTAATGGAATGTTTGAATGAACTAAACTACTTCATATTTATTTGTATATTTTAATTAACATAATGTCATTTAGCACATCATTTCACAGGGATTAATTGATCATAGTAAGTAAGGGGTTCCTACTTACATATATCTATATATATTTTAAACTCCAAGATTCTTTTAATGCACATTTTTCATCCCCCAGTTTATAAACATAAATAAACTAAATTAGCATCAAATATCAATCACAGTAATTAATGGTAATATGTATTATCAATAAAATACAATGAACCCACATTTATACTTCTGAACTTCTCCGAATGTAGCATACTTAAACCTTATGTAAAATATCACTTTTGCTTTTAAATGACAAAATCTTATGATAAACTAACTGCATTAAAAGTAGCAAATATTTTACTAGGTTATTATAAGATGCCTTTCTGTTTATATATTGAAATATTTCATTTGTTTGAACTATGCTTAACACCTGAGGAATACAGCATATATTTTTAGTAAAAACCATTCCAGACAGGCAAAAGAAAGTGTATTATGAGTAAATATGCTCCCTATATCTAGGCACTTCCCAATCTGACATTTATTAGGAGTGGCAGAACTCGTCAGTTTCTTCACCATCTCACCAAGAACTTTACACACTCCATGCACCTCAGAAGGCAGATTGATATTGCACCACAAAAGAGGGGAGATGCTACCAAACCGGTCACAGGACTTATCCAGTGGCATCAGCATAAGAATTAGCCATTACTTACCACTATATCAACTAAGACATTTTGTGAGAAAATATAGTAGGTTTCTTACAGTTAATGCAATGGAAAGAATACCATAAATACTTTTCAGAGACTTTCCCATTTTCTACGACAATGTTTTTACACAACTATTACATTTCTCGAAAAATTATATATCTAACATTTCAGACAACACATAAGCCAACATGTATAGCAGTGAGAAATGACATACATAAAAATTTACTAGTGAAATTATGTGGCTTAGCTTATGACAAAAATACAAATTCAATTTTACTGCCATTTTTTTTTATGTATTGAAAATAATGAAATTGCTTAGCTTTTATTTGAGAAATGTGGACACACTCATTTGACAATAGTCTAACATTTGAATGATTCCCTGTTTCATATATGTTATTTACTCTTGAAAGGAAAAATGCAAGTGAACACAAGTTAATTGGGGGGATGAAGCTAACTGAGCTTCAAATGTGAAGATAATTCAGGATATCAACACACTTAAAAATTATGTCAAAAACACACAAAAAGCAATTTTGAAACTAAAACGAAAAGATGCTAATGCATAACACAATAGCAAAACATCTTACACTTCCAGATTTCCATGTCTACAATGTTCTTAAAACAGTCTAAGCGACTATGCTGCACTTAGCATTTATAAAGCATCTAAAATTCAATTACCTTCAAAGATACAAAATTAGGCAACATAAAAGACACATATGCAGAAGAGCAGCTGCACATTGAAATATGGATGGGAAATCGTTCAGTCATACAAAACGAGATGGATGTACTATGTACAACAAAAGGCCTCTTGGAAATGTATGCTGTATTGAGATGTAGTATTGGAAAATGCAGAATAGCTAGCTCCATCTGAACTAGACTTTTGGAGCAAAATCTTTCTGAAATACTGGGCATCCACTACATTACCTGAAGCAACATAGCAGCCTATAAAATAAGTAATGAATGTCACAGAAGATTAAAAACTGGAAAATTTAACAAACTAACATTTAGAGCAACTGATACACATATACGTAAACAAATAGCTTTCAAAATTTAAAATTATTGTGCAGTTTTTAAAACAAGAAACTGTTCTCTATATCATCATCACATGGCATATATATTCATTTAATGTTAAAATAAATAAATTACATTCTTTGCAATTAATTCATAACTAAATACAGTCTACATCTCATTAGCTTTTTATAAAAGATTCAGCTCATTTGAAAGAGAGCAAATGCATGAGTATATTTATACAATATTTAGTTGAAGAGATGTGAAATGAATCTATACAATTTTGGCCTACAACAGCCAGTCCTAGTATGAAAAAATGAAAATGAGTATATGCAGCAATCACAGATGAAAGTGTCTCACTATATGATGCTGGCAGGCAAGTTGTCAAACACTTCTGATGATTTCTTAGATAGACTACCACGTCTGCGAGGCAGAGTAGAAGTGGTTCCAGGGATCAAATCTGGGCAGCCACTGTGAACCAGCAAATCATGGACTTCTTGAAATCCACCATTCTTTGCATATGTAACCGCAGTTCGGCCATCTGAATCAACTGCTTTTAAATTTGCATTATTCTATATAAATAAAAGTAGAAAACATAAAAATAAAGAAAGAAATGCAGAATAACAACTTACCTATATCATGTCAAAGTTAACACAACTGTGAAATAATTCAGACATTAAAATATCCTCAATCATAATATCCATATATATTGAAACCAAGTTTTCTAGAAAGAGTTGAAAATTTCCTCCATAGAGTTATAAATGGAAATTTTGCTATAAACATCTTTCATTTGAACTACTTTTGTGCATATCCAGAGCTGAGAGAGCTATGATTTTGTCAATATTTGCTTATTATAAGAACTTCAGCCTCTAGCAATTCTGCTAATATATAAGCTAGCCCTAAAACTAAAAAATAAATTAAAAAAAGAAAAAGCCTTTTTAAACCTCCAGTTCATGTCACAATGACAATGCTTCCTACTCACATTTTAGAGGTGAAATATTTTTAAGCTAATTTATGGAATATTGTTTTGAAATGAAGGCTAATCTACAATTTATTATTCTGATTAATAATAGTATTTCTATTTATTCTAAAACCAATGATACTACACTGTAATTTTGTGACAAAAATTTTGTGCAAATAGATAATTATTGCTCAAGAAAGTTTTTGAACATATTTTCCTCAGTGCCAAAATTACCTCCTAAACGGAACTGAATTTTACACCATACTGTTATATATCAGATACCATATCGGGGGGGGGGGGGGGAGAGAAGTAATAAATTTGAGAGACATGAATATTTGCAGATACAAAGACTAGTTAAATATTTATGGCAAAAGACACATGCTTAGAGAGGGAATGCATTCAGGAAGGGATTATGTGATGCAAGCCTATAAAGGGCAGTATCAGGAAAATGAACTTATATTCATTCTCATTCGGAGCGGGGACAACGAGGCAGTAGGTTCATCATTCAAGATTGTGCCTGAGATCCTGTCAGCGTGTACATCTGTCTCGTGCAGTCTGATAGCGCGACCACGTGTATTTTACAGTATTTTACAATCTGATTGAAACAGCATTTTTAAATGTGAATCGTCGGTTTGTATTATTAGTGAAAGTTATCTATGCTTTCACTTATTTTATATCTGATTTTATTTAACGAAATTAGGAATTACTTTTCACGAAAGTATGCTATATTGGCTGACTGCTGGCTAGCACGCTAATTAGGCATTTTTAAGTAGTTTTAGTGATTTTCTGCTAATTATCAGATAAAATTAATTTACTTAATTTGATTATTTTGGTTATTGGATTGGATAACACATGTAGTTACCCCCAAGCTCTCACTTCAGGTGATTGTCAGGGGTCTTGTGTGTTCTTCGCCCACACATCCGTCTGTGAAGAAGGCTATTGTGTCAGGTTTCATTCTGGGGTGTGGGACTCCAATTTTATGGGCGCTGGATTTTCTTTTGTTGTTGCTGATATGTTGCGATGGAGAGGCTAATTGAAATTTACAACGTGCAGTTATGCGAATTAGATGAATTAAAAAAAGTAAGGGTCAACTTACTGAAATTGAAGGTAAATTTTATGGCTTTTTACTTAGCTCATTAGACATAGTTAAAGATCTTAATGACCAAAGTAGTAAGGAGCACACAAATGAAAGTCATGATAATATTCATAGTAATGTTCCCACTACAAGTAAATGTCTAGAAGATCATGACAAGGCCAGAAGCCTAATAAATCTTAATGATAATTATGACACGAGTGATATTAATGAAAAAACATTAGACGAAGATACGAGCTCTGAGGATGAAAAAACATTACACATATATGGTGACAAAACTGTTAGAACTAAATATAAAGGTTGGGTATAAAGAAATTAAAATTTGATACTCACACTCAGATAATATCACCTATTATCATTAATAATCAAAATGATGACAGCACTGATATACAAGATAGTAACACAGTTACACCTGATAACGATACACAACCTGAAATCATAAGTATGGATACCACGGCCGCTGATGCACAGCAGCATGACTCAAAAGTAAACAAATCTGATGATAAGAATGTACAAACCGCCACAGTAAATGTGCTGAAGATTGTTAAGAAATGTAATTCAAGTTTTCACTTCCCTGATTTTCCATGACCAAATAGAATAATTTTCCTGGACATAATCAACTTGTTAGCAAATTAAATATGGGGAAGTTCATATTTTTTATGTTTACTACAAAATACAATGGAATAACTGATAAATATTATAAAAATTAATACTTCTTATGTGAAAATATTTAAAAAATATGTAAAGGGAATATGCACCTAAACCAATCAATAAAGCAGGTAAGATTTTTTTAAAAAGAAACATCAAACTGTAAAAACCTAATCATTTTACAAAAGAGTGAAATAACAGTACACCATTTGTAATAAAAAAACTGAAGTTTTAAAATAAAAGAAACTTCGAATTATAATGAATAAAAATTTATTTAATTATCATAGCTATTTATCATAATGTACAGCCATGCAGTATAATGAGATTTTAACTGCAATATTTATTTCTGAAGGACAATTACATTTCTAAAGCAAAAAAAAAATAAAGAGTGTTGTGAGAGGATAAGCCTGTATCAGATACAAGCTCAGATAAGTTTTTTTGGTGGGAGGGAAATACTGCTTATTTTTTATTTAATTTTTTAAGATGGACAATTTTTGATTTCATATTATTTAAAACAAACTATTTAAAAGAAACGATTCGTACTTTTCTTTAAACACCCAGACTTATACCTATATATATATATATATGTATCTATATATATAATAAGGTTAAATTTTTCCTGACCTTTCAGGTATCATGGTTAGTGGGAATCCTGTAAATCTAGTATTTCTAATTTGTTACATTTCCCACCTTTATTGTTTTAATACACACTTTGAGAGTAAGAAGAGCTCATTTTACTGTGGACCATCTATGTAATTTGTTCATTTTCACACTATCAATTTAATAAATACCTTTCTATAAACGAATTTCTTCAGGAATAAAAATAACAATGAAAAGACCTATATGAATTAGGAATGGTATCCCAGACTTTTCATCTGCGACACCTGTGAGTTAATAACTGTACCATCACAGCCTTTGTCAGTTTACTGAATTAAAGTAATATATACATTACATAGAATTTAATTTTCCTATTTGTATCAGAGAACTGCATACTAAACGTTTACAGCTACTTTGCTTCTAATGTGGAATGGGACTATTAGCCACCACTACTTCACTGTCATGCCATTTTGCCATCGAGCTATTTCACAGTCAAGACATATTTTTCTTTAAATGCTTATATTATATCTTGCCATAACTGACATATCATAGTAAAATTTTAAGTTTAATAATGTTGTCTACCTATTTTATAGTCAAAACTTATTTTTCTTTACATGGCTATATTATATTATATTATTAAGCTTATTTAGTTTAATAATTTTGTTTACATATTGTACACATCTGTCTTAAATTTTAAAAGGGAAAAGCTTTTGTTATTAAACACAACATCTAGAATTACTAAAATATACTAAAATAATAAATTCAATAATAATATGCAATGTTTAGTTAAATTCAAATCAGTAACTAAAAGCCTTCATAATTAAGAAGAAATATAATTTCATTATAAATATAATATGTAATAACAAAATAAACCATAATATTATAATTAAACATAATATACAATACAAAATAACAAAATAAAGCATAAATATTAAAACTAAACATAATATAATGTAACATTCATAATAAAAAGAAAATTCTTTTGAGATTTCAAAATAAATTGACCATTTTGAAGATAACATTTAAAGAGATAATATTGTCTTCATATAATTAAAAAAAAATTGAATTTTGTTTTTGATTTTATATTAAAACTCGATTTCTTGCAAGTATTTTTAAATAAATCACATGCACACATTGGCTCTGTAACCAAAGTTATGGTAAAACATCTTTCTGGTTTTTTAACATTTACATATCAGCAAATTTCTAGAACGAAAATCTTTTGAATAACAAATAAAAATTTTTGGATACAATTTTACAAACATATATCCTTACACAAAATACAAAAGTTAACTTATTAGTACATCTATCTATATATTTATTAACTTTATGAGAGTAATGTGCTGAAAAGATGCCAAAGTAATTCCATTTCTGATTAAGATTTCATAAAAATGTGAATTTACAGCTTACATGAGCGATTCTTCTGAATTAGCCAATTAAAATTTTAAGAAATTTTGACAAATCATGTAAACATTGCATCTGCATAATTTTAGAAACAATAATATATAATCTGCTGTATCAGAGGTTTAGCCCATTATTATGAAATGTGATAATTTTGTTTTATTTTATAATATAGATATTTTTAATTAACTAAGTGTAATTTCTTTATTTCTCATATTTGTAAACGATTATATACATTATAAGCAACACTTTATATATTTATATATTATATTTTGACTTGACGGCAAATGTCTCACGGTGAATAAGCTGCCAGCAGACAGTCCTGTTGGTGAAACAGTGGAAGCCAAATGGCTATGGTAAAAAAGCTTGAACTCCACCCATAACTATATGAAGTTAGCAGAAATCTACTAACATAGGTCATTCAATCCCCTTGTAGGAACAAAATTACAACTGAATGCAAAAAATAACAACGCCCTTAAAATGTAACTATAACCACATTAAACCAAACTTTTAGGAAAATGGACGTACCCAAATAAGAAGCTGAGTGATTGGTAAATTGCCTAAAGCTGCAGCAAGGTGCAGAGCTGTTCTTTGATCTCTTGGACTGACAGTTGTGTTGACTTGCTCAGGGGAGGATGTGTGAGCCAGAACTAGAGCAACTGCTTTTATGTCACTCTTGCACACTACATCGATCAGTTGCTAATATGGATAAAAAATCAGTAATCATTAAACATACATGCAAGAGATACACTTGATTTAATTAACATGTAAATTTAATAACTTTCAATGGTATGCTATGCTTAATCAGAAACAGGCAGTAAACAAGTGGAATTATATAAATGTAACAGATTAACAAGTTTTAAGAGACACTATATCAAACTACAAAAAAACGTTATCATCAGCACTACACTAACACTAAAACTGAACATTTTTGCTGCTTTCATTTATATTAATTTTCTAGAGCATTTCCTGACACATTATAATATAGATGTAAAATATAAAAAAATAGGACGGCTTTGCTCTATGCGAACCAACAACCTTTAATTAACTTTCTGCAATTCAGGATCTTCCCCCTAGACCAGTACTTTCCAGAACATTCGAACTTATTATTACATACCCACTTCTATAATAGAGAACTCACGCCATTTTCCATCAAAAGCTCCTCTCACCCTCTGCAAGTAAGATCTATGCCGCTGTGCTTCTCATCTTTCTTCCCTTCGTTAGAATAGTTATGACATCAAAAGCCTAGATTTCATCATATTTAGTTTGAAACACTATTTGATAGTATTTGTTTATAAAGCATACTTTTAAGTTAATATTAAGTTTAATATTTTGGCAACATTGAAATTAAATTGTAAAAAGAATGAGTTAAAAATGTATCTGGAAGAGAGAGTTTTTTATTATTATGGTTTGGTAGAATGTGGTAAGATTTTTTATGTCTGATTTTCTTTAATAAAGTTTTCTTTTTGTATATTGCCATAATGTATTTTTGTTAGAAGTGGATGATTCTTTTGAGAATGTTATATATATGCCAATCTTAAAAAACCAACATTTGGTAGTAGAGCGTGGTTGCCCCCTCTGTTAATAAACTTTCAGATAGAACATTGATGTTGTTTAGGCTTAACAAAATAGCCAATTTCTCTAAGAGATAAATTAGACTTGTATTATAATTAGTGAATATAAATTAGAAAATATGGCATATAATATGATAAATTTGAGTCATATAGAAAAATTAAGTGATGATACATATCTTATTTGGGCCAACAGAGTTGAAAGTGAATTAAGAAGTTTAAAGATATGGAGAAGTGTGATAGAAGCTGATGAACCACCAAAACCATATAAAAAGGATGATGTTAATTTCGAAAATGAAATAAAAACTTGGGAAATATGGGATGATAATAACGCGATAGCAAGAAATATAATGAATCAAACTATGACAGCTCCACAAAGCGTTAAAAATATGCAAATGAAAAGAACGCAAAGAAGTTATGGGAGAAAATCAAAAATGAAATGGCGGCAAGAACAAAAAGATATTCAAATTAAATGCAGAATAGAATTAGCTCAACTGAAAATGAGTCAAAATGATCAGTAGATGATTATATGAATAGAGCTGTTATTCTGAAAGTAAAAGTATTCAAGTTGGAGATGAAATAAGAGATAAAGAATTAATTTACTTCATACTAGAAGGACTTAGAAAGGAATTTGATGTTAAAATTATTAAAAGCAATAAAGAGAAAGATCTAGCTTCAATTAGACAAGCTTTAAAAGAAACAGAAGGAAAAAATAAACAAAGAGGAAAAGAAATAGAAGTAAGTTCTAAGACAAAAGAAAACTGGATAAAATCGAAATATGAAAGAAGATGCTTTAATTGTGGAAAATTAGGACATTTAATAAAAGAATGTCGAAATAATAATAATAGTATAAAGTGCTTTTGCTATGGACAATTCGGCCACAAATCAACTGAATGTAAAATGAAAACTAAACAAAAACACCGACAGCAGAGAAATGTAACAAAACTTATAGAATGTCAAGCAAGGAAAGAGAATATGAATCAGCTACATGCTTATTTGAAGTATCTAAGCAAATAGAAAGCTCATATCTTAATCAAGATAGAAATGATGGAAAGAATAAAATAAATAAACAAGAGAATAGAAAAATTAAATGGATTATTGATTCAGGAGCCACATCTCACATGGCAACTAATAAAGAAATATTTACTAATTTTAAAGATGAAGAACAACAAATAATGATGGCTGAAAAAGGGGCCATGATAAATTCAGTTGGTATTGGTAACATTAAAATGCAAACTGATAGAAATAAGAACATCTTGAGAGTAGAAATGTTTGCAAGTACCGAATTTAAGTGAAAATCTGCTGTCAGTATCAAAAATTGTAGATCATGATTTAAAAGTAATTTTTACCAAAAATAAAGCAGAAGTGATCAATAAACAAGGAAACATTCTATATATAGCTAACAGAAATGGAAATAAATTTGAAGTTGAAGGAAATATTGTTGAAGAAGCTAAAATTAGTTATGTTAATGATGTACTATGGCATCAGAGACTAGATCATATAAATTATCAAAGGCTGATAGACATGAAAAAACACTCATCAGTCACTAGATTAGAAAATGTAAAAATTTCTGAAAACAATTGTGAACCTTGTACATTAGGTAAAATAACACGAACATCTTATAAAAGTGTGAAATTTAAGCAATCTGAAGATATTTTAGAATTATGGCACATAGATTTAGTTGGACCAATTGAGAAATCAATAGATGGAAGTTGTTATTTTTTAACAGTGGTAGATGATTACAGTAATTTCATATTTGTGATAACAATTGAGAAGAAGAGTGAAACTTCAGAAGCTCTAATCAAACTTATCATTCAAGAAGAAAGACAAACAGGAAAGAAAAACTAAAAAAAGAATTCGTAGTGATAATGGTAGTGAGTGTTTAGCTAAAAATATAAAAGAATTTTTTGAAAAAATGGGAATTAAACATGAACTTACAACCCCTTATACTCCGGAAAGTAATGGAAAAGCTGAACGTTTTAATCGCACTATAATTGAATCTGCTAGAACTATGTTAATTGATGAAGAATTACCGATAAAATTTTGGTCTGAAAGCATTAAAGTAGCTGTACATGTGAATAACAGGAGTCACAAAAATGATAAAAGGTTTACACCATATGAAATATATAAAGGACGCAAGCCTAACATTACTTATCTTAAAAGATTTGGATGTGAAGCATATGTTCATATAAGACGAGAAAAACATAGAAAGATGGATCTTAAAGCTAAAAAAGGAATTATGATAGGCTATAGCATGAAGAGAAAAGCATACAAAATTTATATCCCTTAACTAAACAAAATTCAAGAAGTGAGAGATGTAAAATTTGATGAATAGAAACTTGGATCACCTTTACTAAAAGAAAATTATTTAAATTTCGATAAAAATCAAATATTAGAAGAACTTATTATTTTTTATAAGGAACAAACTAATGGAAATGAGAATAATTCAGAAATAACTAATAGATACTATAGAGAAGATAATACAACAGATGAAGAAGCTGAGAAAATTTTGCCATCCAATAGTGATGATGGACACGATGATAACAATTCATTGGAAAAGCCAACCGAGTATCTGCAAATAAATGAAGAACCTGGAAATGATAATCATAGGAAATCCTGTTACAGAAAAAGACTAGCGCGAATTACGAAGCCCCCAGAAAAATTAAAAGATTATGTAGTATACAATACAAATGAAGGATTACCTAAGACGTATGATGAAGCTATAGACTCTGCTGAAAGTTGAATTCTGGCTACAAGCAATGACAGAAGAATTGAGTTCAATGGAGGCTAATGAAGTCTGGGAATTAGTTGAAAGACCTATCGATAAGAAAGTTATTAAAAACCGCTGGATATTCTCAAAAAGAGATGAAAAGGGTAAATTAGAAACAATTTACAAAGCAAGACTAGTAGCGACCGGATTTAATCAAAGAAAAGGAATTGATTATGAAGATGGATTTAGCCCAGTAATGAGACTTGCAACTTTAAGAACATTACTATCGATTACAGTTTACAAAAACTACAAAATAAGATTTTTTCGATGTAAAAACTGCAATATTTAAAATGGATACTTGGATAAATCAATTTACATGGAACAACCACCCTGGCTTTATATCAGATCCGAACAAAGTATATCTTGTAAACAAAAGTATATATGGATTACCCACATCAGGAAAATGCTGGTATGATGAATTATGTAAAGTTCTTAAAGAAAAGAATTTAACTAGACTAAAGTCAGATCCATGTGTTTATATTTATAAAGATAAGATCAACTATTTTATCATAGCAGTATATGTGGATGACTTAATGGTGATTGGAAATTCAAATTCTGAGATAAATGACATCATCTCTCAACTATCTAAATTGTTCACATTACGAGAAGTCACTCAAACACAAAAATTTTTAGGAATAGACATCCGGCAAGAATCTGGAAAACTTATACTCAGTCAAGAAAACTATATAACTAAAATCTTAAAAAACTTTGAAATGGATGAATGTAAACCTATCAAGACTCCAGGAATATTGGGTGGAAATCTTGATGACATAGCATCTTCACCACCTGTGTCGAAGACAAAATATCAAGAAGCATTAGGTTCATTGATGTACTTAGCAACAGGCACAAGGCCAGACTTAGCTTTTGCAGTAAGTAATTTGTCAAGATATAATCAAGATCCCAGAGAGAAACACTGGAAAGCTGTAAAGAGGATATTTAGATATATTAAAGGAACACAAAATACTTTGTTTAGTGTATACTTCAGACAATGGGAAATTAAATGCTACATGAGATGCAAGTTACTGAAAAGTACTTCAGTGTACCACTGAAGATGGAAAATCATTTGGAGGTTATTTCATTAAATTAGGCAAAAATTTCATAAATTGGAAGTGCAACAAACAAAGAATAGTTGCTCTATCTACAATGGAAGCTGAACTTTTTAGCATTCTGCGAATGTGCATGTGAAGTTAAATGGTACATCTTTTTACTTGAAGAATTGGGTCAAGATGATCTAATTGACAAACCAATAGGAATTAAAACAGACTGTCAAGCATTAATAGATTGGATTAAAAAACCAAAACAAAGTAGCAGTTCAAGGCACATTAATAAAAAATATTTCTTTGTTAAGGCTGAATATGAAATGAATCAAATCATTCCTCAGTTTGTGTGTTCACAAAATCAAGAAGCGGATATTTTAACAAAGTATCTACCTAGGGTGAAATTAAAAGAGGAACTATTAAAGTATGGACATGACTGACTGACTGACTGATTAAAATTATATCTTTAAATACAAATAAGGGGGGAATTGATAGTATTTGTTTATAAAGCATACTTTTAAGTTAATATTAAGTTTAATATTTTGGTAACATTGAAATTAAATTGTAAAAAGAATGAGTTAAAAATGTATCTGGAAGAGAGAGTTTTTTTATTATTATGGTTTGGTAGAATGTGGTAAGATTTTTTATGTCTGATTTTCTTTAATAAAGTTTTCTTTTTTGTATATTGCCATAATGTATTTTTGTTAGAAGTGGATGATTCTTTTGAGAATGTTATATATATGCCAATCTTAAAAAACCAACATTTGGTAGTAGAGCGTGGTTGCCCCCTCTGTTAATAAACTTTCAGATAGAACATTGATGTTGTTTAGGCTTAACAAAATAGCCAATTTCTCTAAGAGATAAATTAGACTTGTATTATAATTAGTGAATATAAATTAGAAAATATGGCATATAATATGATAAATTTGAGTCATATAGAAAAATTAAGTGACGATATATATCTTATTTGGGCCAACAGAGTTGAAAGTGAATTAAGAAGTTTAAAGATATGGAGAAGTGTGATAGAAGCTGATGAACCACCAAAACCATATAAAAAGGATGAAAAAGGATTTTTGTTAGAAGTGGATGATTCTTTTGAGAATGTTATATATATGCCAATTTTAAAAAACCAACACTATTTGATATGTTATTAGGAAAGTTTCATCCAAAAGAAAGATTATCTGCCATTGGAATTGAATAAAGATATGCAATTAAAAGCAAAATCCTTCTGCGTCATCATTCTGCTATCTTAACACTCAGCTACAGCAATGCCCGAACTTTGATGCCAAGCTTCGTCATTTCATGTCCACGACTGCTAAAATATCACAGCTTTATTAATTAGCCGGCAGGATTTATCCTCTACGTGGGAAAAGAGCTCCTGGATTTATTTCTAACATGCTTCTAAATTCAACAGTGGGTCAAGGAAATTGCATTGTGCATCAATTCATCTGCAAACAGAATTTTCCTGTGCTTTTGCTTTTCGTCGGCTACAAATATGAAGTGTCTTTCAAGTGTGCCGTGATATGCATTACGTGTAAAGTGATTAGTGAAAATTTTTCAGCAAAGTGTATCGTGATTCAGGTTAATATTTTGGTATAATGTGAAAAATTTTTAGTGATGATTTCATATTCAAGATTTATGCTTCAAAATTGAATTTTGTGTAAACTGATTATTGGTGCTTAAATTATGAATACAGAAGCTAAAGCCGCGATGTCAACAAACACACAAGAATTGATGGCCGCTATTGACACAACAAAATTTCAATTTCCTATTTTTTATGGATCTAAAAGCGATATTCCCATTGATAGATACATTTTGCTGTTTGAACAAAAATGTAGTACCAAAAATATCCAAGATAAAAATAGACCCTTTATTTTTTCTGAAGATCTATGCTGCTGCGCTTCTCATCTTTCTTCCCTTTGTTAGAACAGTTATGACGTCAAAAGTACAGATTTCATCGTATTTAGTTTGAAACACTATTTGATACCTAATTAGGAGAATTTCATCTAAAAGAAAGATTATCTGCCATTGGAATTGAATAAAGATGTGCAATTAAAAGCAAAATCCTTCTGTGTCATTATTCTGCTGTCTTAATGCTCACCTACAGCAATGCCCGGACTTTGATGCCAAGCTTCGTCATTCATGTCCACGACTGCTAAAATATCACACATAAAAAAAAAAAAAAAGCCTTCAGATTTTATATTATACCCAAAAAGACATTATTAAACACCATGTTCTTCACACTTAAACCATAAAATTCAATTCAACAGCAATATCACATAATATTTAAAAGAGTATACTTTAGAATATCCAATACACAGTCTCGTGTGCCGGTGATAAATTTTTTTCCATACAGTGTTGCCATTGCTCGCTTTCAGATTGTTCAGTTTCTTAAGCAAAAACTTATAAATGCTTTACAAAATATGAAATAGATAATAAAACAAATTCCAAATTTGGGCTTCCAGATGCCCATATTCGGGTGAAAACGTACGTTATTTAAAATTTGATGGATCTAGGTACTACTGTTTTACCACAATGCAAGAAACATACATACATTTATGCAGATTCTTCATTATTTATCTGCTTTAAATATAATACACGGCTCTAATATTTGGTGGCAACAATTTAAAAAGTGACTTGCCATTTACAGTGAATCAACGCAAAATGCCAAAACAAAATTAATAGCCCTTCTGGGCAAATTGCCCCTTTGAGCTTTTTTTTTAAAAAAAACCTACATATTTTCTGATATAAATATAAGAACATTATTGCTGACACTTCTGGAAGAACTGTCCAAGAATTTGTAATTAAAGAACATGCAATTCAATTTTCTTTTATTTTCACATATGATCAATTATCAAACAAATTAGAAACCATATAAATGCAAGTCATTACAGGTGGTAATCATACAGTAAATCAGTATATATATTATATATATATAAAAGCCATATATATATATATATATATGGCTTTTTCATTAATACACAGTGACACGTGCCCAATGAATAAATGGGCAAGCAGTGCAAACACTGGTTTGGGTGTTGCAACTCATGATACTTATTCAATAAGTATTTAAATTCTTCTGAGATTCCATAGTCTATACGATATTGTCTATACGATATATTATAACACCAATTCATTCTCAATGTAAGTGTGCTAGAAGACATTCACATGATGACCAATCACAGCCCACAGGTTCCTGAATAGCAAGAGAACTCGGAGTCAGGGTTCTCCCAGACAGAGGATGCCTAATAACATTAACTGTAGGTGGTGACATGTTATGCCGACAAATGCCTTTTGCTAAGCCTGGAAAGCTGCAGTACATCATCAGTGTATTTGTTTCTTATTACCGTGCCTCTTACATATACGACCTGTGATCAGATGATGTAAGGCAACTGTAGCAATCAAACTATAATCTTTCAGATGCAATTTTCTGTTACCAAGCAATGTGTTATATAAGATTTGTTGGATACAGTTAACAAATATGTAACAGACTGCAGGCATCAGCTTTACAGAATAAAATGCTCGTCCTGACAAGTAATTATAAAACAGTTCACAATTAGTTATCATTTTCAAATTTTAAAAATAAAACTCAGTATAAAATTGTAAAAAAGGGGGTCTTGGTTTTTTAATGCTATTTCCATTTGGGAACTTTCTGTTTTACTAGCGTTTTGATGGGCCGAATTCATAAAATCAGAAGTCCATACAACAAAGGACAAAAATTAATTATTTTTCATTGTAATTTACACATACAAGGTTAGGAAAAAATATGTCAAGTTTATAACTTAAATTTATTTAGCTGTTAAAAATATATTTTCACCAGCTGTTTCAAATTAAAATAACAACACTTATATTTTATATTTCAAAATATCAAAATGCTTACCTGGCCTACTGGTGTGCTGGAAGATATAGGAGTTAAAAATTCTTTAAATTCATACTTAGCACGTATCCACCTCTCCTTTTCTTCTCTGCAAAAACAAGGGGGAAGGGAAAATTTGAAAAAACTATATTATTTTATTATGATCTGATTAAATTAACATAGGTATGCAATTTTTTTTTACAAATACAACATTGTAATATATTATTAATCTAGTTTAAATTAAATACAAAAAGATAATATAAAAAGTTAAAATAAAAGAAAGCCATTTCAAAAACTGAAATATTTAGATATAATAGTATCATTAGTACCTGCTTGAATTAGGTGTGGGTTTGGCTCTACCTCTGGTATTGCCTTCCCAGATGCTATTTGCTATTGTATTTCCAAGAGACAACATTACACTTACATGTTCTGGTCTATAAAATCAAAATATTACAGTTTAAAATCATCTCATTTAATAAACAAAAATTCTTAGAAAATTTTATAATACTTTAGAGACAAGAAAACATTAAAAAACAAGATAAATGGTTACAAATAGGTCATAACATTGTCAGAGCATTACATGCAATTTGCAATGTAACAATATTTATATAAACAGAGCAATGACAGATTCAAAGGAATCTTCAACAAAACTCTCTTCAGCCCTCAGAACAGAAAATAGTACTAATGAATAAGAAAGACAAAATATCTACTAATAAAAACAGGAAAAGGTGTTTGCTATATCTACTGTAAAAACTAAGTAGTGAGCAGTTCAAATGGAAATAAAGGTGGTGAAACACAATCTAAATTACTGCCTGAGAACAGAAAAAAAGTTCTGTATAAGCTGTATGATTGGACAAAATGGTTCCCAAATCTTCACACAAATAATACTAAAATCCACATAAATTAAAAATATTATTACTGTCAATTTCAGCTAACAGATCTGGAAATGAAATCATCAAGTATGTAAAAAATGGCAAACCAGTTTTACATTCTGGGTAAAGGTATTGGCTGATCAAGAATGAGATGATATTCCTATAAGTGCTTAAAAGCTGTAATTTGATTTTGGCATTAATAATAGTTTGGTATGATCAGTTCATCACGTTTGTTAAATCAAAGCACTATGTATGATTATGTTAACATCCACAAAAACAACCTTATCATTCAACAAAACCTGCTGCACATTCAACTGGAAAATCATATCCTGATATACAGCCATCTGTTAGCCATCACTCCATTTTTGCATAAACCAAGCACATTAAATTTTGGCATCAAAGACTAATCTTTTGACGGATTGGGCAAAGATTGACTGTGCTTCAGATAAACATGTATCTCAAGTCTCAGATGTATTTTTATCAAGTTCAAAACAGAATATAACATCCATTCTCTACTCCATAATGCTATGGTAAGAATACCCTTTTACTATTTATACAATACAATGCTATCCTCCTTTACTGCATGCAAGCCCAGTTCTGTCCCAAAACATGCAGTTTTGCCAAATTGTGAATTAGAGATGCTTTTGAACAAGACATTTGCTAGATGATATTTACAGCTCACTCAATTTAAAATGCAGCTATCAGAATGTGTATCACAAACAGATTTTGACCCACAAATTAGGTACAACCTTTCTATGAATTTACAACTGACATAAAAATACTACTGCCATACATTACAGTCCTCCATACAGAAAGAGGAATTTTAGAAATAGTTTTTACTCTGTAGCAACTTCGGATTTTTGCTAAAGAATTAAAAAATAATAAGTTTCACGATAAATCAGCATTAAACTTCATGATAATTCAAAATATTTTTAAACATAATATTTTGATACAACTTATTACAGTCTAAGAAAAAACTAAGAAAACCATATAATGGCCATTTCAAACACAGAATACTTATTCAGAAGACTCAAACAATTTTTTGTTAATATGTTAAAAAACATCTTTTTAATGTCAAAGTATATTATTATTAATAAATACTTACAACCATTCATCTAAATCCAAAGACCTAACCCTAGATATATGAGAACCTAAATTCCGGTGAATACCAGAACATTCAATGCACATTAAGGCTCCAATATTAAGACTGGCCCAGTCAGGATCTAAAGAGATAAAAATAAAGGTCTAACTTTAATCTCTTACAGTCTTAACAGTCTAAACTTTAATCTCTTAAGCTTAAAAATAACCTTGATATTGAGTATTTTAATATATAACATTTGTTAATCGAGATAATCATATTTTCCATGAATCAACAATATTATATTTAGAGCAGGATCAGAAATTAAGAAGAAAGCTAATTTAACTCACACTTTCTTTTAAATGTAGCAGAGATACTATTTTCCAACATTCTAAAATAATTTCCGAAATACCAGAATGAATATCTCATTATTTTAAAACAAAAGCCTTTTGCCATGTAAATGTCAGAATTTAGATAAAAGGTAAAATTTGACATTTGGTATGTATGACAGTAAATGTTAGGAACTTTTCATTCAATTCTCAGTATTGCAGCCAACGAGAAAATGCATTATTCTCAGTTTGATACCTGTTCTGCATTCTTATATGGAACACTTGAAGAATTCATATACATGCAACAACCAACCAGAAAGATATAGTGATGGTTCTGACAAAGTCTGTAAGCTGAAATGCAGTTTATATGGGCTAAAGCAAGTATCATGCTGTTAAAATAAGTATTTTGGAGCCTTTGTGTCACAGCTTGGCTTCAAAGGAAGTGAAGTAGACCCATGATTATATATAAAGAAACAAAAATCGCAAGATGCTAGTCGTATGCTTGTATGTAGATGATGGTTTGGTAGCATCAACGGATCTACAAGAATCTGAAAAATTTCTTAGAAAATTGAAAGTGTGATTCCCAATCACAACCAAACCTGCAGTATACTCTCTTGAACTTGAAATTAAGCATCTTGAAAAATGGATGTATCAAAATTAGTCAACAAGCTGATGTAAAAGGATTCTTCAAGTATTTCAGCTGGAAGATTGCAAACTAGTACAAATTCGTATCCTGAATGAAATTTTAACCAAAAAGAAAAAGGATGATAAACCAAACACAGAAATTTCCCCTTTTACAGAAGCTGTAGGAGCTTTAAGGTATCTTATATTAAGTAATTTGGTGAAAGCGATTATTTAGTCTTGTTACCAAGTTAGATGAAGTTCCAGTAGTTCAGGTAGATAACACCGCAGCAGTTGAGAGTGTCATAAAATCCTGAGTTTTATCGAAATACAAAACATATCGATATCAAGCACTTTTTCATGTTAGAGAAAGTTCTAGAAAAGCAAATCATTCTGCAGCAGATACCTACAGAGGAGCAAGTTGCTGACATAATGACTAAACCTTTATTTAAAACAAGAATGGTGATTCTTTGTGGTAAGATAAAACTCTTGTGACCTTTCTCTTCTAGTTTGTTATTATTATTTTTAATATTTATTCAATATGGAAATTGTTAAAGTATGTTAAAAAATTGAATAATAATATTATATATTTTAGCTAATAAGTTCTGGCAACAATGTTTCGAGAGGCTGTTGTTCCAAACATGCAGTTCAACTTTAGTTAATAATTTCAATTAAAACTTCTATTTTTTGCTCTGCTATTTGTTTTTTGTTTTAGCTCTAGAAACACTTTTTGAGTGATAACATTTCAACTCGTATTGTTCCCCAGTAAAGGTGTTTTCTTTGTCTTTGAAGCACATGGTTGTTTACTCTCCAGATGAGAAGAGCATCCTCCTCAATACATTTTCACTTCTTTTACAAGAATCACAGGGCTAAGAATATAACATTGCTCATTTTAGAAGACACTTCAGAAATATAAACAGAATTATTGTCATTAAACAACATCAGCCATCGTTCAAGCTGTAGTAAAGTAATTATGCATAATATTTTAAATTATTTCTGGCAACAAATGGCACCATATGTTGTATTTTGGGTCTTATTATACAAGTGGAGATTGGTCATCCATTTCACTTAAATTTATGTTTGGTATCCAGTCTGATGAAAAATCTAGAAAAATGTCAATCACTTAATTATTAAACCCATTATACAGCAGATTTGCATTTACGTTGTTGTTATTTTCTGAGCTTGTTATTTCACAAAATTATTTAGTGTGCCTTTTTTTTTAAATCCGGATATTTTGTGGATATTAAGAAGAATTAAGAATATTTTAAATTTAAGCCCTTTTTAATACAATTACAAAAAAGAAACACACTCATGATTTTACTGCTTGCAACGTTGAAAAACGTAAACATGTCGCATTGACGGTAATGCAAAAAGAGCAAATTCTTCAAAAGATGGAAGCATGTGCTACTCCTCGGTTTATAGCAGAATCGTATGGAATTGCGAAACGATTGTGTATGATATACAGAAAAATAATGAAAAGCTGTTGAAATTTTACAGCAACAGTGATTCTAACACCGGAATCCAAAACCGGAAATCTTTGCACAAGGCAAAATCGGCAAACCTCGATGCTGTGTATATATAATACAATAAATAATATAATAAATTTATATATGTAATAATAATTTAATGCATACAATAAGCTATTGCAATAATGTATATAATAATTTAATTTAATGTATCTTATTTATTTTGCACTTTTAGTCTGAATATTATGATTTATCTTTTCTGTCCTGAAATCCTAAAATCCGCCAACCTCTGGTCCCCAGGCTTTGCGAATTTTTGGGCTTCTACTGTACTAATAATGTAGGATATCTGCATAAAATTTATGGAGAGATGGATCAGAAAACATAACCCTATGATTATGGCATAACCCTATGATTATAAATTATGATTCTTAATAGCACATCAAATAGTCGTTGTTTCATTAGTCAATAATTTATTACCAATACAAAAATGACTACAAGAATTCACTGTAATACTGCAAATGGATATTCTGAAAAATTCATCTACGTTTCCTTCCCCCCCCAAAAAGGAAATAGAAGTACTTCAATCCTGTGCTGTTCTACTAAAGTTCATAGCTTCAAAATGGGTTTTATTAATCAAGAACTTCCAAATTCATAATTATCATAAGGTACTCTTGAGAAGCAAGTACCAAAAGTTTGAAAAAAATTCAAAAATAAAATTTAGCAAAAATTAATTAGGAAGGTTGAAAGCTGTGATTGAAGTAAAACCGATTTTAACTAAAACTTTCATTTTCGGAAACTCTGTGTTGATGGTAAAACACAGAAAATGCTCCTGAAGTTCAAACTGAATTTTTAGAAATATTCTTATAACAATAAATTTTTTTAATACAATCATACAAAAAGGAAAGAAAAGGGGGGGAATTCTTTAGTCTAGTACTTCTGCATGGTAGTATATATCAAGGAAATGTAAATGAAAACAGCAGTTAAAAAGTTGTTAATGCCCACAAGATATCGAATTGCAATACTTGCCACTATAACCTCTTACCATGGTTCTTGTTTGCTGCATCTCTGATTTTGATGCATTACTACTACTTAACTACTGCTGGTGCCATTAAGCTTACTCCATGCAACTCCAAGCTTACTCCACTACACATCACAGCTCCAGTTCCTAACCCCTCATTTCCTTCTACTACTTAAAGTACTCTGCAGGCCATGGCCTTTACTATCTACATAGTTACTTGTCAAATTCTCAGGACACAGCATAGATCTGGAGACTTTCAAATAACTATACGTACTACAAAACAGTACAATTATATATAATAAAACTACTATAAATCAGAACAGATGGTACAAACATATTTTTTAGCTGAACAAACATCACATAAAAACAATGATTAAACAAAATAAAGGAACTTGCAAAATATTCTAGAAATCTGCAATAATTTAAAAAGAAAGCCATACTTGGAGCATCACAGTCTACACAATGACTATTGCCAGGTATACTGTTCTTGATGGCCTGGATTGAAGCAGGATCAACAGCTGATGTTGTACGACCTGACTGAAAAATTTTATGAAGATAAAAACAGCAATGAAAGTATACATATTTTTAAAACAATCACAATATAAATAAGAATAACTATAACTTACTTTAGTTTTACAACTCTCATTCCCCTGCAAACTAGTGAGTATCTGTTGTTCAATGGCTGTAATCCATGCTTCACGATCCTGAAAGAAAAGTATGATGAAAAGTTTGTATTAAAAGAAATACATATAAAACCAATAAATACTATGATTAACTATAAATTCCTTGTCAAATTTCCCATGAAAGATAGTAAATTAAAAAAAATCGCAAATATTGAAATGTGTATTATATTAACAATAATCCTGGGAAACGAAAAAATAACTGATAATGGATATGCATTCAACATTTTAAATAGAACTGATGGTTAAATCCACAGTGTTATGCCTTATGCCATAATACAAATGAAGTAATGAATTCTGAAGCCCTAGCAGCACAACGGAATTACTTTTCAGCCCTAATTTTAACTTACTGCGAATAACTAACTAAATAAATGAATTTTTTCTTGTATGTTTTATGATAAAAACATTTATTGAATTTCTTATGCATACAAAATATAAACATAAAAGACATTATTGTACACACTGCGCTATTCCATGTACTGCTGAAAACGATATGGTATTATCACAAAGCTCTCTAAGCTGTTTGCACCGCAAAGCATGTGCCGAGTCCCAACAATGAGATGATGAGCAGCATGTTTCACAAATACTCAAGAGGATTCATATCTGGTCACCTCTAGTGACAGTGAGTATTCCAACCTTATTGTTATGCTTGCTGAACCATTCCTGTATCATGTGTGGCTGGTATGGTGGAACATTATCTGCTTGAAACAGAGCATCATTCTGTGAGAAAAATAAGCATACAAAAAGTTGGAGATGATCAGCTAACAGTTCAGCACAGCAATGGGGCATAATCCAGCATGAGAGCCCAGACAATTATAACATCGCCACTGGTTTATACAATGCCTGCAGTGCTTCATGCAGTTTATGCTACACATAAACTCTTATCATCTACTAACAGCACTCAGAATCTTGATTCATGAGACCAAAACACGTTTTCATTCTTCTACCATACAGTGATGGTGTGATTTTGGAAATTGATGGTGCGATTTTGAAAATTGAAACAATCAATGTTTTCCCAGCAGCAGTAGAATTCAAGCTAGCTGCCACCTATTGTAACCAAGTCGTGTCAGTTGCCAATGAACAGATTCTGATGCAAATGCTGGACAAAGCATCTAGTTGCGTTTCTTGTACAATTGCCTTCAATATGATTAGAGGTATTTGAACACCTTGCACGAGTTTCTGGTTTAAAGCCACATTTTGTATAATCCACATCAGCTTTTGTACTTTTTGAGGTACTGCTGGTACATTCATGGCACAGTACTGAACAACATGCCCAGAAGTTTGGCAGTCACCAATATTGAATGAAAGCACTAAAATTTTTTCTCCAATTAAAATCACTTAAGACTTTACATCATACAGGTATGGTTCCTGGCTTACTTTTTATGCAATCTGAACAAGGAATCTTAACTTATGGATTTCATGAAAAGACATACTTTATGCAGGAACATTTATTCACCTCTAAATAACTGGGATAGAGAGCCAGCCGCAGCTATGACCGTAATGTTCAGCTACACTAAAAAGATCATGCCCTAAAACAAGGCGATCTATTCACAACACACATATAAATAGCAATCTTTTCTCGGTGGTGTGTTGCTAAATTTAATGAGCCTAGTAACTGTAGGGACTACTTACATTAATATTCCTCTGACTGACCAACAGAGGGATCCTTACAATAAGAACTTTTTATTTGAAAGTTCACTAAAACGGGCCTATCCGATGATATTATTAAAAGTTGCAGACCTGTCTATTTTTCACGAGCGTTTAGTTTAACATTGTATTATGTTTCTAGGTAAGTCCATTTTACAGTGCTTTACAATACAGAGATGCTAGTTTTATAATGAATAACCAACTATTTTAGTATAATTTGATGGACATGTAAAAGAAAGTTTTTATTTTTTGTGCTGAATATGACAATTATAGTCAAGATATCTCTACATAAAGTAAATATGACGTGGGTCACTGAACCTCCATTAGTAATAATTTCATGACTTCCTATAGCCTGTAGACTATTTAGAATGATTTATTATGAAGAATTAATATTTGTACGATGGAATAGAGGAAATACCCCCCCAAAAGAAGAGATAATGAATTACTGAAAATTAAAGCTATTATTTTATTCTATTTATAATTAGTTTTCAAATCCTACATATGTATTTCACAAATCATCAAGGAAAATTATATGATGTTGCTAGTCCCCAAATAGTTTAATTTCAGAAGTAAGTGATTTTTGATCTGATCACGAACAGTTCAAAAGTTTAAAGAGATTAAACACACCAGTCACACACTGAAAACTAGCATTTCAAATTTCTACTATTGGATACAGACTAAAAGAAATCTGCACAGAATTTTCTTGTTAAACAACAAATATATTTATGAATGCACAAAGCAGAGAATTAATATAACAAGTTTGTTGGGTTTTGCAAAAATGCACCAAAAATTATTAAAGAATACACTACCCGATAGAAGAAGTTATATAAATTTAGCTGCAAAATTATGCAATATCATATATAGAACAATCATAACTATAAGTTTGTTCAGTCAGCAAAATAAAGGTGTTAGAAATGTCAGGTGGGTCAATAACTGACGCTTCTATCATGTGAAATCCATTTTTTCACCTTGGAAGCCATGTGTAGTTGAAGACATGCTTGCCTCGGAGTGTGTGTGTGTGTGATTATGGCAAAGCCTTGAGGGCTATCTGCCTAAGGGAAGGGATGCCTTCGTGGAGGCCTTTCTAAGGGAACTGGCTCGTATACACATTACACATAGTTAAAACCACGAAAACGCCCATTTAGCCAGCCCGTTCGCGGGATTCGAACCTCGGACCGAACTACCAGTGTTCAGCGACTTTACCACTGAAGTTTCAGGAAGGCAGTTTCAGGAATCGGATATTAGCTAGAAACAAAGCATACCTACACATGTCAATAGCGAATTTTGAGAAGACCTGATTGAAAAAGGGTATGTGAACTGTGTCAGGGGTGCTGATGCATATATACTAGCAGCCAACCTATGTTTAGAACACTAGATATGCCAGAAGGCATATGAGTACTAAAGAATATAACTCTATCATTTGTAACAATTGTAACTTAGAAATTAAACAATTGTAAGTTAAATTTTAATTTTAAAGTCGCTTTTCTACCAATTTTTGTTTGCACTTACAACTCCCTACTAGAATGAGTTTTTAGATTCGTGTTGAATGCAAATGAGTTATATGAATTATTTAAGGAAGGTTCAACTTACTTTGTGAGAGAGAGCTAGGAATCCTGAGTAGTGTGTGTTGCCTTCGGGCTAAATCTCTCTTGATGAAGCTGTTATGCTCGGCCACATTATTACATGCCTTTTGATATTTGCTGGCTATTTTAAATTCAGGGCTAATTATGTCGGATACTTCGCTTCGGCTAAGTCTCCTTTAATTAGTTATAGTTTATTTCTTATTCTGAGTTTAAGCCCGAGAGAGGGGCCAACTTTTATTCATAATTGAGTAAAATAATGGGTATTTTAACCCTTCATGAGGCTACATCTTTAGTTAATTGAACTCTGCGATAAGTCACTAACAGTTCACTAGGTTCATTGATATTTATTTTAGACAAAAAGTGTGCGGAACCCTACAGAATGAAATTTAAATATTACTGAAATAAAAGGACTGACTGACTAATTTAAAATTACTGAGTGACTTAAATATTAGTGAGATAAAAAGAGTGAAAAGGGTGACTTAGGAAAGAACATTACATCTCTAAACTTTTCTAAAATGAAACAATATGTAGGTCAATCATTGACTGACAGGAACAATTCCTGTTCAATGCTTTATTAATCACTAGTAATGTGCAGTTAAAGTTATAAAACTGAGGGAAGAGTGGAAAAAATGGTAAAGTTTGAAGTCAAATGTGTTGGTAGTTCTGAAGATAATTCTTGACTCAGTTTTGATAAGAAGAGGTATAAATGATAAGCAATTTATATATACTGTTTCATTTTAGAAAAGTTTAGGGATGTAATTTTCTTTCCGAAGTCACCCTTTTCAGCCTTTTTATCTCACTAATATTTAAGTCACTCAGTAATACAGTTAGTAAGTCAGTCCTTTTATTTTAGTAATACTTATACTATTTCATTGTGTAGGGTTCCTCACTCTTTTTGTCTCTCCCTCTGTCTCCCTAAGGAAAGCAATAAAATAATCAGTTATGTCTTACTTGAAGACTGGAAAGCAGATGCCATAGTGCTTTCGCTCAGCACGTAACATGCAACATTTACTACTGGAAATTAAAAATCAATGTTATCTTTTACCTTTTAGAAATATATTTCTAATAATAATTTTTATAGTACAGCTCTGTTTTCAGTGGCCTTTTCTGTGAGTTTGATTCCTTTACCAAATTTAATTATCTGAAGTTTCTCTGATATCATTTATACCTCTTCTTATCAAAAATCACTTCAAAATTATCTTCAGAACTATCCACACGTTTGACTTCAAACTGCAAAATCAAACTTTACCACTTTTTTCACTCTTCCCTCAGTTTTATAACTTTAACAGCACATTAATAGTGATTGATAAAGCAATCATAACGAGATTTCGTGAATATGGGAATATTTAATATGCTTGGTGGTTCTGAAGATCATTGCAAATGAGAAGGCAGACTTAATGGTGATGAATGACAACTATGATGACGGTAACAAGCTGCAGGCTGTAGCAGATGATACAAATAGCAGTTTCAGCAGCATTAAATAAATTATTTGAGGCCTAGGAAGCAGCAGCCAACTACAATATGAGCAGGCAAATTTCCAGATACAGGGAAGTAGAAATGAACATTTCTTATTAGATATAGTAATGTTAATAGAGTCAAAAGTCATTAATTCTGACACCCATAATCCGGGCCTCAAAGCTACAAACTTTCAGCGCATGCGTCGTGCTGACGCATGCGCATAGGCATCTCTGCATGCGTGTAAGACCTTTATGGCTGCGAATATGCGTGTGCGTAAGTGCATAATACGTTTACGCCTGCGCATTTAATGTATAACGGACGGTATAAGCTAAGCTA